TGTAAATCGAGGATCAAGCGAAAACTCAGGGTTAGATTCAAAGCACGGGCCTCCTCCTCAGTAGCTTCGAACCTTGACTGCTGGAGCGCATCTGCAGATCGAAGCCACGAAATAATGTAGATCAGCCTGTTCCTGTATACTTGACCGCCACTTGGTGGAAACACCAATCATATTTTGGCAAAACATGGATGATGTGCTCATTTAAAGGAATTAATCGCCAGGGGTTCTAGTCCCGACGAATTATAGCGGCGTCCTAACTGCGTCCCTGTCTAGGCTTGGGCAACCTGGCAGTATCCCGACCCTCGTGCTTCCTTCGGGTGGCATGACAGCTAGGCACCGGAAGGGTGCTACAGCTGAACGCTTTCTTTTCTTTTTTTCCTGACTACGTGCAGGTCATATACATCTGCAGGGTGCACTGGGAAGTGTACCACCGCCACGCAGCCTAAAAAGTGGTTCAGCTTCATCGGGGTGATAGCTCGGCGATAAGAACACGAATTTACCGACCGGAAGGTTCGTAGTTCGAATCCGACCTTTGCTTCTCAACTTCACCGAAAAGGTGCTACAGCTGAATTAGCTTTTTAGCTTCATCACTGATGAACAAAGTAGTTCACCAGAACCGAGAAGCAATGGTGCTACCAAACACGTGCGAACACCGATAGACATAACACTCCTCAGTTAGTAGCCTCCTCTAATCGGCCACCACAGCTCCCACCTCCCAGTCACGCATCAACTTCGAAGCCAACTGAATCAGCGACTCACCAATAACCACATGTAGTCATTGCCGGGGTGCCTTCCTGATTTCAGCTCCACCGTGTCTGTGTTGAAACCCGACCTATCCCTCACTCCAGGCGCTCCACAACCAGATATCATTGTGGTAAGACTTACCGAACTAAGGAATTTGGCAACATCGCATACATGCTGCAACAACAACCAGAAAGTCGCTGCCCACGAGGCCATATCTCTGTCGCCATCCGAGTATATCATCATCAACAGCATAGCAGTGTTGGAAACTGATGCTTCGAGGTTGTAAGAACATTATCTGAGAGCCTTATTGTGTAACAACAATACAAATGAACGGAGACGAGGCCCAGTGCTAGGCTATTCGCACTACGTCCCTAAAGCTTCAAGGACTCGTTCATGAAATCTGGGCAGAAAATAACAAGGAAGCCATTGGTATCGAGTGTACTCGATGCCAGTGCCGCTATAGCAGCATATGCTGCTACCACATATGTGGTGGATTGAAACCCTGTTTATTCCCCATCCTGGTGTTCCAACTATGTACCATGCACCAGAGACACGGAAGCTAGAGACAGTCCTTGAGAGAGATAAAAGATTACTAAAGCAGTATTATGGTGTGATTACGGGACTTCTGGCAAGCTCTGGTGGTAACCCTCGTCACGGAGCCAAACAATCAAGCCGATAATACTCTATTCTGATTTGTCTATATTCTCACCAATCAGGGCATGCCTTCTTTCGGTAGTTTCGAGTGGCTGTCATCCTGGCACAGCCATACCTTGAAGTCAACCAGGTCTAACCATGCACAAGAGTATCACGCCTAGACCCCTCACCGGAAGGTGAGTCGCGCCGAACCTAGTAGGAATTTCCAGGCTTGAAACAACTCACTGGTTAAACCACAAAGTAAGTGACCGGAAGTTGGTGATTCACACCCAACCCTGATGTCTCCGCTGCTCTTGACAGGCTTAGAAAACCTTGAGATACATCGGATCTCGTGGTCGTTTCAGGTGGCTTGGAAATTGGACACAGAAAATGTGTTGGAGTTGAACGATTAATATTATTACTACTATTGCCTGCGACGCTCTGAGTTGGATATCGAAAACGCCACTCTTTTCTGCAAGCTAAGGTTCAATGTGTCCAATACATTATCAGAACGCTGCAGCCTTAGCTGCTAGAGGAAGCTGGAATTAACCTGAGTCCCCGTTAAGAAAAAATTAGTGTGCATGTGAGTGTGGTTTGCGAATCGCACAAAATTGGGCTCAAGAAAACTTGAGGTTGATAAACGCTTGGTGACTGCGCCCAGTTTTCCAAAGAAGGGAAAAACCGGTCGTTGGTAGTTTGTGGCGTTTCGACAAATCGCTCCTTGCTACTTTTACCACGGCTGATCCCATTATACTTGGCGAAGCACCTCTACCGGTCAGTCGTTGTGCTTCTTAAATGCAACTCCTTCACAAAGCCATAGGCGATTCAAGTAACCCATAAATACAAGAGTTATAGTCGCATCCATTCCACTGGAGCTGGAGATAGACCGCTTTGTGCCAGGGGCAGACCATACCCTTCCAGCATGAGCTGACATGATTCGTCCGACCACGGTCCAACGACTCTTGCTGCATAGCGTTAACAAGCACGATCATAGTCAATTGCTTCTGCCGGTAAGATGAACAATCACCAGCCGAAAAACCCACTAATTTCTCATCATGCTGTTACTCCGGAAATGTCGCAGCAATTTGTGCTGGCGGGGTCTCGCAATAAGTTTACTGGGAGAAACAGAATTAAGGGCCTTGTTCGAACTTGTGTCGATTGGCCCCAGGCAAACTCGCAAACTGAGCGCATCTCGGGCGACTGCTCGCAGTGTGGTGAAGCGGCTAGGTCACACGTGAGGACTCACCTACGGTAGTAGCCGCACTTGACCGAAACCCGAACCGGGCTTTACACCACTAGTACAAGTCCTATGAGTTAAGTTCGCATCTCATAATTAACTCCGCTGCATGGTGCTCAGCTTCTAAGTAGCATGCTGGCAGGCATGGGCTTAATTGTGCAGTTGTCGTGGGCGGCCCGCGGGCATCGGAATAGCAGGCAGAATTCGCACCCCTTGTTTGTGGGATGTCTTTTTCAGTGAAACAATCCACTTCCACGATTATGCCAACTCGCATCCGTTTAATTTTGGTGAAATTGGTTTTGACTTCGGTCTAGATAACGAGGTTAGTTGAATTCTAAAAGATTCCTGAGATACTCCATTTCACATATGTTTTGGCAGTTGCCTTTAATACGTGGAGCCTTGGTCTGCTATGTAATCTCGGTGATGAGATTACTGGACGAAGGCCCCCGACCAGGACGCATTAGGACTCGTTGAGAATAACGAACAATGTTATCACGACTATGTAATCCGGTGATGAGATTACTGAACGAAGGCCCCCGACCAGGACGCATTAGGACTCGTTGAGAATAACGAACAATGTTATCACGAAGAGAAGACGATTTTGACGCCTTGTTCATTAAACCTGGTGCTGCGAGCAGAGAATAAAATTACTTCATAAAATGGGAGTACCTGATAACTACCCGTTATACGGAATATATGGATCTGTGTCTTGTGTGTTATCCCCAGACATACTGCGTACACCGCCAATTTGGGCAGCATATTGCAAGCTTCTCTATGGTTTCCGTATCTGCTGTGACAAGTGGTGTCCGCCCTCTTCTCAGGCTTTGATCCTCGGCAATACCTCATTCGGACGCCTGCTGGACCGCCGTTAACTCCACTTGATCTGTGCTTTACACCCAGCTGGGTCCAAAAATGCTCGATATCTTACACTGGTTTTGTTCTACCCCTGCGGACTCCATCGGTAAACCAAAAAATTCCGCTGCTCACAGAACTTTACATTCCAGCCCAGTCAACCCAAACATGTCATCCATCAATGGGCCGTCCTGAAACCGGCGTATGTCAGGCCAGTGATCGTGCGGCACTTTCATTGCCGGTCTGATGGCATACCCGCAAGTATTCACTTTTTAATTTTGACTCTGTCCTCTCGCCGACTTGTTCCCTTGACTGCAGCTACGAACGAACCTTTCACCTGGCCCCAGCCGCCTCCGGAACGAGGTCACTCTAACCTGATGAACCCCAATTTGAATATCACTACATTCACAAATTTTCGATTTTTCATTTTCGCGACCTACGAGGAGTTACTGAACGGCTCAGTAGTCTTTTATTAACATATATAAATATTTGGTTAACGTGCAATGTAACAGCGTATCTACATGTTTTTTCCAGTCGCGCTCCCTGTTTGCTAAAGATGTAACGTGTCTTTTTAAAAAATCCCCGGCAGCTTACATGATTTCTACATGGATGTTATGCTATTGTTGGTGATACGCCACACAGTGACGACGTATAAGATCGAAACCGAGCAATTTATATTGCAAGGGCGCAGTTTGTAGGCGAAGAAACTACGAGAAATTCTTTGATAAAGGAAACTACTTACAAGGTTGCTGAAAACTCTCCGACAGCCCACAACCGCGCCAACACCCACTTGGTCAAACAAACAGAACTCACGCTCCTACCTGGTCTTCCGGGAGTGGACACATACAGTGATATATACATATGAGGCTCTTAAAACCCAACTACCAGCACACAAGACGGGAGGCCACAGGCTTTATTCTCCATTCACCACTTTTTAATTGGAGATGATAACAGTGCTTCGAGAACTGGCGACTATTTTCCTACAGTCATTTTTTCTCAAAGATGATAGTACTGTCCAGCTCATGTAATAAATACCAGATGAACCAGTCCATCACCTCGGTAGTCCACTCCCGTCAATAGTTATACGTTTGATTTTCCCAACCACACCAAATCTCTGCGTGCTTACATCGGCTTGCTTTGAATCTCTTGTGATATAATATCATATATTAGCAAATTAAGCCCCTGCTTGGTCTCTAGTCTATTAAGTACATATCTAACCTTATCCCATCCCATTAATATCGTCATCCTACTTATAGTGAACCTTAGGATTTTCCTATTAATGCACATTATCTTATCTGATATCTCCCCAAACTTACGAGGCTTTACTGATCCCGTCCAGTTCTCCCGTCTCTCCAGCTTTGGAAATACCTGATTTGGACGTCCTGTTTTGTTGACATCCACTTCAATTATCATGTTATTTGCATCCACATGGATACTCAAATGGATCAGAAAAAATAGCTGCGATCTTACATCGGCCTCGTCTAAAGTCTGCGGATTTCCTTGGTCAACCTGGAAAAAAAGCTACACCTTCCAGATCACTCACTACAAGAATGACGTCCGTTACGGTGCTGCCCGAAAACCGGAGTCTGTCGGGCCAATGGTGACACAGCAATGTCATACCCAATTTGCGGGCGCACCCCAACTATTCCCTCCCTACGCATCCTCTCAAACGCTCGATGCATTGACTGTTCTACACAGGCCGCCTCGTGATTCAGTTGGCACGATATTCGAGATATCGCAGTATATTTTCATAAAGGAAACTACTCACAAGGTTGCTGAAAACTCCCCGACAGCCCACGGCCGGTTTCGCCCTTCTTGGAGCTCACCAGGTAGGCGCAGTCCCCGAGTTTCCGTCAACCTTATGTTCTACTTGAACCCAAATTGTACTGTGTTCGAGTAGCACATCCGGCTGGAGGACATCATAGACGAGAGATTTAATTGAGTCTCCCGTGAAAACCAAATTGGTTTGCAAATGAGTGTATTTCTCGAAAACGGTGCAATTTGGGTAAGATGTAAGATCGCAGCTATTTTTTCTGATCCATTTGAGTATCCATGTGGATGCAAATAACATGATAATTGAAGTGGATGTCAACAAAACAGGACGTCCAAATCAGGTATTTCCAAAGCTGGAGAGACGGGAGAACTGGACGGGATCAGTAAAGCCTCGTAAGTTTGGGGAGATATCAGATAAGATAATGTGCATTAATAGGAAAATCCTAAGGTTCACTATAAGTAGGATGACGACATTAATGGGATGGGATAAGGTTAGATATGTACTTAATAGACTAGAGACCAAGCAGGGGCTTAATTTGCTAATATATGATATTATATCACAAGAGATTCAAAGCAAGCCGATGTAAGCACGCAGAGATTTGGTGTGGTTGGGAAAATCAAACGTATAACTATTGACGGGAGTGGACTACCGAGGTGATGGACTGGTTCATCTGGTATTTATTACATGAGCTGGACAGTACTATCATCTTTGAGAAAAAATGACTGTAGGAAAATAGTCGCCAGTTCTCGAAGCACTGTTATCATCTCCAATTAAAAAGTGGTGAATGGAGAATAAAGCCTGTGGCCTCCCGTCTTGTGTGCTGGTAGTTGGGTTTTAAGAGCCTCATATGTATATATCACTGTATGTGTCCACTCCCGGAAGACCAGGTAGGAGCGTGAGTTCTGTTTGTTTGACCAAGTGGGTTTTGCCGCGGTGCAAACCCAGATAAGAGGGCAGCCACAGCTCAGCATGTCGATCCAAGACGTGGGCATCGCAGGATGTCTTCGAGCTATCCATCTGCTTTTAACGAATTTCGTTTTTAACAGACATAAGGTAAGCTCATTTCCACCCGTAGTTTAAAGAGTTGCCAGTTAAATGGCAACCAAGACGAGTCAACTCCACTGGCAACAAACGGAACAAAGAACAAAAAAATAAGTGTTGTTTCATGAATTTTCTGAATTAAAGGCTATGCTCGGAAACACCAGCGACTGGCGAAGCACCCTGACCACTGGAGTGTTAGCGAGCTTACGAACGCACAATGGCGTGACGCAAGGGAGTGACCCTCTCTGAAGGACGTACCGGGTACCACACGACGTTTTTCATCCGTCGTACATGCTACAAAATCTGCAACGTTGGCGTGCCATCAGGCGGTCATAATTGCGACTTGTGCATCGATAAAGAACTCCAGCTACCAGGTATTTCATCACTTTGGGGTGAAACCAGGTCAGCAAAACAGCTCAGTCATTTCAAGCAGCCGGACAGCGATTATCCACTGGAAAAGACATGTGGTCGAGCAGCAAATTAGGCGGTAGCTCCCGTTGGGACAGCGGGAACAGAACGGAAATGCCCAGAGCGTGTGAACCGTGGCCAGGCGATGACGGAGTGAGGTATCAAGACAAACAGGGGCTTACAGCAATGTTATGTGTGCGCGTGCTCAGTGGGTTGTGTGGCGAAGAATACGCTCTCTACGTTTTGTCGCTTGGAGCCAAGAAAGAAGAAGCACCACTCATTAAAAACAGCGGACAGGGTAGTCTAGGGTAGGGATAAGCACAAAGAGACCTGGTATAAGTTACCTCGGGAAGAAGTCGGGCCAGTAATAGAGCATATGTTGATCAAGCAGGTAGTGCGGGTAACCGTTGCTTCAGGAGAGCCGAAGAGAGAGCATGGTATGGTGAGAAAGTGGTCTTGTTTTTTTGAATTATTGTTTTAGCTGCTTTTTTCTTTTAGCCTACCAGCTGTATCTTCGTCAATTCCAGAAACGATTTGGGAACGATTCGTAAAAGAGATCGTGGGGCAGCTGGGTTCTCGGTAGGGCGGCTACGGTTTCACAGGTAAGGAATTTGTCTACTGAGTGCAAAAGTGTATGTTGGTGTGAAATTTATCGAAACCGATCGTAAAGACTTCCAGTTGCGGGCGGAGTAAGCTGAGAAGATGCACTGCCGTAGGCTCGTACTCCCTGGATGACACACTAAGAGGTTGCTGGATTCATGGAATTTGTGGTGAGTATCTGACATGATTCTCTCCGATTCTCTCCATCTCGGGTCCGATTCTCTCCTTCTCGACGTGGTCTACCGTAGCCCTTCGAGTCCCCCTGAAGATGACCAATTCCCCATAAAAACACTTGAGTAACTCTCCTCCAACTGCCACTTCACTCATCTCCTGCTTGTAGGTGACTTCAACGCCCCAAAGGCCTCCTGGATTGAGCTCCAGTGCGTCGAATCAGGTGGACTTTTTGCGGCGGCGCTGCTTGAAGTCGTTTAACAGAGCGCTTGGACCCGGTGACTTCACCCAAAGGCCTCCTGGATTGAGCTCCAGCGCGTCAAATCAGGTGGACTTTTTGCGGCGGCGCTGCTTGAAGTCGTTTAACTAACAGATTGGACCCATGTCGTTGCACCCACCAGATACCGCGCACGCCAACTACCATCCCTCCTGGATTTGGTCACCGCCCACGAAAGACACTTCGTTGATCAGGTAACAATTAACGTTCCACTGGGACATAGCGACCACTGTGTGCTGACCTTTGATTTCATCTGCTATTGGACCAGAAATTCCGACCCTCAAACGTGGTTTCGAGACATCTGCTGTGCAGTCTTTTCAGGAATGCGCATCTTCTTCGAACAAGTCACAATGGGGACAGCTCCGGTGGAAGAACTATATAGGACCATTGTCCAGAAAGTCCACAAGGCTGAA